TATGATGGTGGTGATATAAGACAGTCCAGTCTGGTGGACACTTTAGGCCAGATGGACTGGGCAGCAGAGGCATGGACGTTACAGGGGGTTATGGGACATTTGACAGCATCTAGCCAGTAGTGATTTCCAAAAATCTACCCTTCTCAGTTGTTGACAGCAAAAATGTTTCCTGAAGTTGCTAAATGTCCACTAGGGAGTGAAATCACTGGAGACGAGAAATGTTTTCCTGTATTCAAGTGACATTGTGGAGGAAGAGAAGAGGTTGGGCTCTAGATAGATTTTGAAATTAAGGCTAAGAAGATTTGATGCTGGACACAAGAAAAAGCAGAACCAAGAATGACGTCAATGGATACGTAAAATGTGATCTAGCCATACTACAGAATAGTAGTCAGTCTTAAGAAGGAAGGGCAGGCTACCACCTGGATGAATCCTGAGGACATTATGCTGAGAGGAATAAGCCAGTCGCAGAAGGACAAATCCTGTACGATTCCATTGACATGAGATGCTCAGAGTCCTGAAAATCAGAGACAGAAAGTAGACTGATGATTGTCAAGGGCTGGGGAGAAGTATTTAGGGGCTTGTTTAACGGAGACAGATTTTGTTGAGTAAGATGATCTGTTGCACAACAATGTGAATATTGTTAACATTGTATGCTTAAAACTGATTAAGATGATAAATTTTATGGTATATTCATTTTACCACAATTAAAAATAAATGTTAAAGTTTAAATGTATTGTACTAAGAAAAAGATTTCTGTCCAACAAGGCTTTCCTTGATTCTCAGAAGGTGGCAGCTGTTGCCAGGAGTTTCCTCTGAGCCACAGGTTGCTCCATACAAGAGATCTTCCCTTGGGATATTTCTGTCTAGGCAGCCCTTAGGCCTTAGGCTTCTTTTGAAAGAAAGCCCTGAACAAACGTAATGCCCCCTGCTTCTGGTCACCCCAAACTCTCCTTCAATACCAGTGCTTCCCCAGACATGCTTCTTATAGTTGTCTGTGGAAGGATCAAGGAAGGAAGCTTCAATGACTGTCAGGGCAAATATTTGGGAAAATACTCTCCTCTAGCCCTGGCTTTCACTTCTTCATGTTCTGTGGGAAATGTGCTTGCAGGGTTTGACTTGGTCGGGAGGCTTCGGCCTTCCTCTATGGAAGGAACATGCTGCTGGTCAAGGCTTTATTCTGGCTCCCGGAATGAGAGACACTACAACAGACCTACAGCCAACCTCAGCCTGAAAGAGACCATCACAGCCAACTCACAGAACCACGAGAGAAAAGCGTTTGTTGCTGTAAATCATTGGGGTAAATCATTGGCACACGATGAGGCCAGAGCAGACAAATGCAGATTCTGTCTGTTATGGTGGAACTCAGTCTAACAAGAGCGAGGAGTCAACGGTGTCCTGGACTCTCCTGACCGGGAGGTCCCAGGTGGTGAGGTGCTAAAGAGCAGGGTAAGGGGGTGGAGTTGTGACCCTAGGGAGCTCTCCAGAGAAGTGCGGTTGTGATGGGGGGCAGAGTGGGGCTTCACCTGGAGCAGAGGAAGCGGGGTCCCAGGCAAGCAGGCTGATGCTCTGCTTAGACGTCCAGGGCAGAACGAGCTCACAGACCTGACAGCCTCCAAGGGCAGTTCGGTCAGCATCTGTTGCCACCTTTGCAGAGGGACATGCTCCCCCAGGACACCCCAGCCAGGCACCCAGCCCGGCAGGGTATAGGGCCTGCCCTTGCTCCCCCAGGACTCAAGAGACTCAGGGTGAAAGAGTTTTCTGTTGTTTGCTTTCAGTGGCACAAAGAATCCAGTTGGGAAAGAGCAGCTGAACCGGGAAGAGAGAAGCCCGGCAGATGGAGAGAAGGAGGTCCCTGAGAGGCGGAAGGAGATGGGGCCTGCACTGGGGGAGCCACTCCTCAGGCCAGGGGAGGAAGGATGCCTGGGTACAGACACGCAGGGTGTATAGGTCCGGGGGCGGGTGGTAACAGACCCCTCTCAGAGCCTTCTCTCTTTCTGAGTAGTAGGAAGAAAGGTCAGGCCAGAGAGTCAGGAAGCCAAGTCCCTCTGGCGTGCGAGCCCTGTGCGCTTTTTCTCTGAGGGTCTCAGTCTTCCATCCAGAGCCCATAAGTGACTTATACTAGAGGGCTGCCCCCCAAACTTGGTTAATGTCAGGAGCTTTACAAATATACACTTTTCGGGAGACCCCATGCCTGAACTACCAGACGGAACTCTTTGTAGCAGTAGAGACAAGAATCATAATTTTTTTTTAAGTCATATTTTTAAGTTATAAAGATGCACAGTCAGGATTGGGGACCCGCAAGGCCCCTCCAGCTCAGAGAATTGCAGTTCTAGCACAATGGTGCTGCATCCCAGGGGAGCACTTTAGTGGAGCTATAAACTGGGATAAGCCCCCGTCACTTCCCATCACCTATAACTACAAAAGCCCAAAAGGTACCAAATCAAAAGGAAGCACAATCAAGCAAAATTAGCAGCACCCAGGGAGGCCCTGCTCACATGGGGGTCCACATGGGTGTGCACACACTGGCTCCTGTGACCCAGTTTCCAAACCCCCACGTAGGAGCAGCGTCAGGACAAGGTCTAGGGGATTCCCCAGGCAACAGGGCTAAGTTAGATCAGGGATGCTTGGCTTCCCTACAAAGGGGTGGAGACCTACCCAGACCTTTCTGAAACCTGAGTCCTGGAATGGGGGGAGGGAGAAGGTGGGGCGCCTGGTCTGAGAGTCCAAGTCTCCCCCCCCCTAGCTCCTCCTCTGCCTGGGTGCCCCTTCTCTGGGGCTGCTCCAGACTGTGCAGGCCACCTCCACTCTCCCTTTGCTTCCTTCCTCTGCCCCTGAGTTCTGGTGGAGACAGGCTGGAGTCACCAGCCAGCTCCATGGCCGGCCCTTGGCCTCTGCTCACCTTCCAGCTTTGGAAAGAAAAGAAGAAAGGTTTGTGTTGATTTGCGTTCAGGGGATCCTTCCTCCTCCTAAATTTCTGGGTGCAGAAAAAGTGATTTTACCTCGGATTGACTGTAGAAGAAGGAACAAAGCGTCCAGAACATTCCCCCAGGTATGAATCCTTCACGTGTGTGTGTGTGTGTGTGTAAGTGATGAGTTTTTCACTGGCCAAATGTGGAATCATTCTTGATGATTCCCAGGCCTTTTCTGCCTGCTTCATTCTATGATTCTACAGCCCTAACTTTCATTTAGTCATTCGACAAATATTTTCTGAGTGCTCACCTATGCCAGGTGCTACCACTGAACAAGATCTGGTTTATATCCTTGAGGGTCCACAGTCTAGAGGGGAAACAGTAGTAATACAAATAGCTACTACATTTATTGTGGGTCAAGCAGTGTGCAATATGCCTTAGTTCATTTAACCCAGCAACACCTGTTTGAGGTAAGGTTAATACTCCATTGTATAGCACAGCGAGGTTTAGCAAGGTGACCTCACACAACTAGTGGCTTCTAACAGTATGTCCTGCTGACCGCCCTGCTATAAAGAGACAAACGGTGACTAGTCCAGGGTGGAGGGGGAACTGGAGGGCTCCTGAGAGCTATGTGAATGGCGGGCAGGAAACCAAGGTTTCCATGGGGTGAGGCAAAAGCAAGCCTGGGGGTGAGGTAAGCTTCAGGAGGCCTTCTGAGAGCTCTTGAGGCTTCTGGGACTTGAGGTCCGTGGGGGATCAGGATCAAGGTCTTTCTCCCACTTCTGGGTCTAGGTGGATGGCGATAGAGTAGAAGGATTTAAGGTTTCTCAGCTAGGTTTTCTGGAAGCTGTCTGCCCCATACTCACACAGTGGAGTGTGACCCCTGACCTGGGGGGCCAGTGTCCCAGCAGCCTGAAAGGTGGGAGGCCCTGAAGCCCGGGAGGAGGGGGAGGGCCCAGATCACTGTGGATTCCCCCTTCTCACAGCTCTCAACTGCCCATCTCCCAGCTGTCCCCAGGCCAGGCTGAGGGAAGACAAAAGCTGATTATTCCACTGGGGGCTGAGCTGGGCCCCATGAATGGGGTATTGAAAACCCTGTGCCCATATCCAGATAGGCTTTCATCCTCTCCCCAACCAGACTGTTTGTATGCCAGGGCGGAAAGAGGGAGGGATGGGGTGTAGGGGTCCTGCTGGGAAGGACACCTATGTCCCTCACTCTCCATATATCCCCATATATCTCTAAAGCAAGCCACTATCTCCCCCACCCATCCAGTCATTGTGCACCCACTCTGTTACTCACTACTGCTGAGAGCTTACAAGGAAAGAGGCCTTGGGGGCACTTTTGGGGTGCTAGATACACGACATGAACATTGAACATTCTTGTGTCTCTGCACTTATGATTTATGCATTTTCTTGTTTGTCTATATCTCCGTCCAAAATTTTTAAAAAATCTTCAAGGGTTTCCCACTCCAAACAGGCAGTGTCCCAAATGCCACTTAATCTCCCAGCCTTTACCATGTTTACCTGTTAGTGAGTCATGGGAATTATATTTCCTTGATGCTTTTTCTTTAAATTGATTATTTCTTCTGGTTTAAATTAATTTTACAGGGAAATTTTATATTGCTCCAATAAATAGAGAACCGATATCCTTTGCCATACATAGAAGACACTGTGGGGAAAAAAATCAATGAAAATAAAACAACAAATGTCCATCTGTCTCCCCTGAAAATTACGTGAGTGGCCACAGTGGCATCAACACCACCCTGTAGGATACGTTTGCCTAGAGGATGAACTCCGAGCTCTGGGCCAGCTGCACAGGCCTGTCTGGGTTTGGGCCCAGAGAACCCTCCAGCCCCACTCCCTCTACTTGGCTTTCATGCACCCTCTGCTTCAGCCAAGCCTAACTCCTCATTAGTTTCCTCCCTGCTCCCGTCTTTCTCATTTCCCAGCTGCTGCCTCCACTTGGGATGCCAACCCCTAGTGGAAATGTCACCTCCTCCTGAAGCTTTCACTGGACCCTTCCAGCTGGAAGAAGTGACTTGGGATTTTGAATTCCAGATGTCCCAGCTGTGACTTCTCCCCAGCCCCTTGATGGCAACTTCTGAAGGGCCACCCACTGGCTGGATGCACAAGGAAGCAGAGATGCAAACTGGTCCCCAGCCTGACGAGAAGGGCAGCGGGTGGAGGCTGGGACACGGAAGCATTGCCCCTCCTCCCTTCCCCCCAGCCCTGTCCTTCCTCTTCCTCTTGCCACTGGGTGAGTGCCCCCCACCCCACCCCACCCCCGCCTCAATTCTCTTTCCTGTAAAATTAGCATGGGAGGTGATTTTTGAAGTTGTTTCCAACTCTGACTTTTGCCCCTTGGTTAGTGAAAGTTGAGGATCTGAACTTGGAGAGTGGAGGGCTCAGGGTTGGAGATGAGGATTTAATGTAAACTAAAAATGGGTAGTTAGGGGACACTGGAGATAGGGAAGGGGGCAGTTAGCTCACTGATGGTGACTGGAAAAGCAACTGCAAGATGGGTGTGTAATACATGTCTCAGACTATTGCAAGGGTTCTATGAGGTGATGGATGTGAAAGTGTCATATCCTGTGCACAAATGAGGGACAATGATAGGGTTTTCAATTTCCCAGGGAGGCCAGGTTCCCTGTGTCCCGCCTATCCCTCAGGCCACATCCTCACAGTGTATGGTGAGGAGAATGTCTGGATTAGAGTCCCAGTTCTACTCTTTAATTGCTCTGTGCTCTTGATCAACTTGCCTAACCTCCCAGAACCTAAAGTTTCCCCATCTGCATAATCCTACCTACTTCATAAGTTGTCCTAATGATTAAATGAGCCAGCCTGCCATATACATACATGAGAGCCAAAGCAGGACTCATCTAGGTCAGTCTTTTGAGGAAATCATAATGAATCCACTTAGGGTGGAGCTGCTGAGTGTCGGCTGGAGGGGACTCTGGGGACGCTAATGAGAGATAGGCATGGTCGCATCACCAGGCAGAAGGGGCATGTCTGTAGTGGCCAGGAATTGAGAGGGAAGAGAGCTCTTCCAGCTGTGGGCTCCAGGAAGGCGGGGTCTCGAAGGAGCAGCAGAGCTATAAGGAACAGGGTTAGCCAGCACTGTCTAAGCAGAGGAGACTGCTTGGTTAAAGGCCTGGAGGTCAGGCTAATGGGAGATTAGGAAGTTGGAGGCTAGTAAGAAGATACGAGAAGGTTCTGTAGGGAAAGCTCGGGAGCCAAGATTCCTGTTGGAAATGAAGAGTCATGGGGGATTTAACAGTGGAATGATTCAAGCATACCTGGGTCTCAGGCAGATCTCTCTTGGGTTTTCCTTGGGAAAGAAGGCCACAATCAAGGAAAGAGAAGCAGGGGTAATGATGAGATGCATGAAGATGAGGACAGTGGGGGAAGAGGGGCCTCTGTTCCTGGGGCCAGCAGCCATGTGAGGGCAGAGGGGTCAGTGCTGTCCTCACTGTTTCAGCCAGCGCCCTACAGCCCACCCTACTGGCCTTTCCAGGTAGGTGTTCCTGCTCTTCCACCCGGCCCCTCCTCCCCCCTGCCCTGTAGCCTGCTCCCCAGGTACTCAAATGCTCAGACAGAAGACCTCCGGGAGTAATGGCTAATCAGCCCTCCATTACTCCTTATGCCCCCAAAGGGATTGTGACAGTTTCCCCTTTTTACAGAAAGGATAAGGCACACAAAGGACTGTTCCCAAAGCTCTCATGGCAAGGTGGGCATCCTGTAGGTTGGGTCCTGCCCTTCCCCTTCTGCCAGCTCAACCCTGTCCACAGAGCTGAGGCTGGTGGGGGGCCCAAGCCGCTGCCGGGGACGCCTGGAGGTCCTGCATGGCGGTTCCTGGGGCAGTGTCTGTGATGACGACTGGGACGTGGTGGACGCCAATGTGGTGTGTCGGCAGCTGGGCTGTGGCTTGGCGCTGCCAGTGCCTCGGCCCCTGGCCTTTGGCCAGGGCAGAGGCCCCATCCTGCTGGACAATGTGGAGTGTCGCGGGCAGGAAGCTGCTCTGAGCGAGTGCGGCAGCCGAGGCTGGGGCATCCACAACTGCTTTCACTATGAGGATGTGGCCGTCCTGTGTGATGGTGAGCAGAGGCCTGCGACGTCCAGGGGGAGGGATGGGGTGGGGGAGGAGGGTGCAGGTAGTTGACAGGTAGTAGGACCAATCAACACTGGCCATAAGGTCACTTGGCATAGAACTACAGTGGAAATCACTGAGGGGCTTTGAGCTTGAAAGCAGTGGCTCTAGTTTTCAATAAAATCACCCAAAGAGCTCATTAATCTCAGACTATGGCCCGCACCCCAAATTTTATGATTCTGCAGTGCTGGGGTGGGGACTGAGAATTGGCATTTCTAACAAATTCACAAGTGATGATCTTTTAGTTGAAGAACTAAAAGAACTCCTATAAAGGAAACCGAAGCTACTGCTTTCAGGCCGCAGGTGGTCCTTTCTCCTCTCATACCCAGGGCTCCTGGTGTTGACCCTTTGTGTGGTCAGAGGCCCTGAAGAGCAAGAACCTTAGGGGTCCACACCTGTGTGTGTGCAAGGCTGGAGAAAAGAAGGTTCATGTTTCTTCCTCCTTTCCATCCTGCTTCTTTCCCAGAATTCTTACCCACTCAGCCCCCAACAAGGAAAGTGTTAACCAGTAGGGCGCCCCCTATAACCCACCAGAATGGGAAAGGTAAGTAAGGACAATGTGGGGAACCATCTGGGTTTGAGGAGAGGGGTCTCGAGAGGAGAGTATATCCTGCTCCAGACAGGGAAGAGAAGTTTTACCAACAGGCGGGTTGAGCCAACCCTCCACCTGAAAGCTCTCAGGCCACTCACAGCCTCACAGTCTGGATGGGGAAAGAGGATTCTCTCCAGAGGGACAACTACAAGTAGTACAAGGTTGGAGAAAGTCAGCAAGGTCAGGGTTGGAGATTAATCTAATGGCAGAGTCAGATAGACTTAGAAATGCCCGTGATGATGCGGAACAGGAAAAAGGAAAGTGCCCTGCAAGAGGGACAGACAAAAATGAAATCCAGAGTAGAAAGAGGCTCCCATCCATCAGAGTTCTATAGGACGTCCTGGAGGAAGAGTTGTAGATACTATACCTGGAAAGATGAGAGAACGTTATTGCAGAAAAAAATGAGGGAGTAGCACCTACCTGAGGAAGTAGCACCTACCTGTTGGTTTTAGGCAGGAAATGAGACAGTCAAAGCCTGACTTCTTACCCCACAAACCACCCGCAATCTGGGATGGGAGGAGGTAGTGGCCTGGGATGAGGCCGCTAAGCGGCTCCTCTAGGGCTTCAGTTCTGGGGTATCAAGCAGGGTGGGTGTGTGGGGAGCCCGAAGCACTGCAGAAGGTTTGGCTAGGTGCACTTCTGGAAGGGCCGGGAGGAGAGCCTCGTGGGAGCTGCTCCCTGCCCCCACCCCGTCACCAGGTGAGGGGAGCGTGCGCCTGGTTGGGGGCACGGGCCCCTGTCAGGGCCGAGTGGAAATCCTGCATGGTGGCCTGTGGGGCACCGTGTGCGACGATGACTGGGGGCTGCCGGATGCCGCCGTTGTCTGCCGCCAGCTGGGCTGCGGGGCAGCCGTGGCAGCCACCACCAACGCCTTCTTCGGCTATGGCACTGGACACATCCTGCTGGACAACGTGCACTGCGAAGGCAGCGAGACCCGCCTCGCAGCCTGCCTGAGCCTGGGCTGGGGCGTGCACAACTGCGGCCACCATGAGGATGCTGGGGCCCTCTGCGCAGGTGCGGGGCCCGGTGGGGTCGGGGGGCGGGGCTCCCCACAGTTCTCCAGAAGCTCCCAAATTACTTATGACGGCTCTGTGCAGTTCCTGGAGTGTCTTAGAAAGTCTCAGCACCCTGGTGGGTAAACTCCACAGCTGTGTAGCACAGCAGCTTGTTCCACCAGTACTTTAGAATGTGTCTGGCACTTCCCAGCAATTTCCAACTACTTCAGAGTGACGTAACAATACTGCAGACTTGATCCAGAAATACCCGGGGCTCTCACTGCTGCACAGGTTGGTCCCCACGATTACCAAGCACAGCTATGTGTGGTCCTGATGCTTTAATAATGGTATTTTCCCTCACCTGGCTCTTCTCTCTGAGAAGTTCTCTGGGAAAATAGAGATAGTAGAACCAATAATGGTACTTCATACATCACACCACTCTACAAGATATAAAGTGCTTCCTCCTTGCAGCTGTCCAGGGGCCATCATTTCCAATTTACAGATGGGAACACTGAGCCTTTCCCATGGTCACAGTGAGCCTTGGGAAAGTCAAGGATCTCCAGGCTAGCCCTTGCCCTTTCTCATCCTATTTCATCTTCTGTGTCTCCATGTCTTTGGATACATATTTTGTGTGAGAACATCAGAGAGAAATGAAAGCATGCCTGTGAAAGCCCTACATACTCCTGTGTAGCAGAAGTAAATTACAACCACTGTCTAAGTGGGGTATACCTCCTTGGATACCGACTCTGGAAGTAAAATACGTAGTCCCCCCCAGGGAGACCCTCCGCCCACACCTGATAAGTCTAAACCTGACCAGGAAGCAGAACCTCGACCTTAGCCTGCTGCTTTCTCTCCTATCCTAGTCCTGGGCCCTCCAACTCTCACTGCACTGCCACTATCAGCCACAAGGGAGGACTGGGCCTGGCACACAGAGCCAGCAGGTAAGGAGCTCAGCCCTCCAGGCAGGAATGTGGGGGCACACTGGGTAGGTTTGGGAATTGGAAAGGTTGTTTTGGATTCACAGGAAAGAGGCCCTGACTAGCAGGGCAGAGCTTTTGGCCAGATGGTAAAGAGGTGGGTGAGAGAACAGATGAGCAGATGGAGCAAGGATGAAATCCAGAGCTCTGAAAAGTTCAGCAGGGTAGGAGGAGGTAGTAAAAGATTTTTTCAAAGCTCTGAAGCATGCTTTGGGTTGTTGCTGAGGTTGGGAATTCAGATGCTTTGTGAAAAGGTTGAGAAAAAGATTGATTGAAGGAGTGGTGTATTTGGGAATTAGGGCTAGACCTACCACTGGGATTGAAATTAGGATGATGCCTGTAGTTAGGTTTCATTCCAGACGTTTCCTTGAGGACCCCATCCCAGACAAAATGGGGTCTGTGCATTGGGCCTCAGTTGTGGTGGCTACGGGGTATCTCAGGATACATCTAGGTTCCCTTGCGGTAGACAGAGCTTCCTTACTATCCTGAAAGTCTCTTGATGCCCTTTCTCTGCAGCTACAGGAATTGGTGCCTTGCCTTCCAGGGAGACGGCACTGTTCACCACAGCTGCCTGGGCAGCTGGGAAGAAAAGTAAGGCGTGAAGGTGGGGGTGGGAGAGGATGCCCCACCCCACCCCCAACCCCGCCAGCTCTGCCGGGGAGCTGGTGGCCCCACCCCAGCCCCTCTGGCCGGTTAAGGTGGGGGTGGGAGAGGATGCCCCCCACCCCAGCCCCTCTGGCCCCGGGCCTGTGCGCCCCGCAGGCGGGCGGCTGCGGCTGGTGGGCGGCCCGAGCCCGTGCCGCGGCCGCGTGGAGGTGCTGTACGCCGGGGGCTGGGGCACCGTGTGCGACGACGACTGGGACTTCGCTGATGCGCGAGTGGCCTGCCGCGAGGCGGGCTGCGGGCCTGCGCTGGGCGCCACCGGCCTCGGCCACTTTGGCTACGGACGCGGCCCGGTGCTGTTGGACAACGTGGGATGCGCCGGCACGGAGGCCCGTCTGAGCGACTGCTTCCACCTGGGCTGGGGCCAGCACAACTGCGGCCACCATGAGGACGCAGGAGCGCTTTGCTCAGGTGCGGTCAGACCTGTGGGCGAGGTGGCGCATGCGCAGCTCGAGCTAGGCGCGGCGCTGCGACAGGGGCGGGGCCAGCCGAGGCCTCGCAGCCGCACTGCAGAGGAGGAGCCCGACCGGCTGCGCACTCTGCGGCTGCGCGGCAGGGGCGGGGCTGGGAAGGGAGAGTCCTCCGCGGAGGGGAAACGTGGGGCGGGGCTGAGAAGAGGCGCGCTCTGCCGCAGTCGGGGCGGGGCCGGAGGTGGGAGCCGGAAGCCCGGATGAAGTCTGAGCGTCTCTAACGGGCGGGGCTGGGGGAGCTCTTGCGTAGCATAGTCAAGGATCTGCAAAGTGCTAGTAAGCAGAGTTGAGCAGCTTTCGGGGAACAAGCGTCTGACCTTTGAGAAGAATCAATGGAAAGGGGCGTTTGCAGAGTCTGACACATTTTAAAATGCTGCCATTCATTGATTGGTATACTTTCATCATTTGGTACCCTGGGCCTGCTGGCTTTGACACAGAAGGCGAGGCTCCAAAAGGTTCTGCTTTGGGCCTCAGGCTGCAAGAATCACAACCTACATTTCTAAGCCGAGAGTAGGGGAACAGTTCCCTGCCAGGGGGCCCTGAAGTCCTCTCTGTCCATGTATCAGACTCGCCTCAGAAGGTAAGAGGGGACCTGGACTCAAAGAACATGTTCTCCAATGTGACAGTCACCTTTTTCTTTGTTCTTGCCAAGCCAGGCCCAGAGGAACTAGGACTGCAAGTCCAGCAGGATGGTTCTGAAACCACCCGGGTGCCCACTCCTCGACCCAGGGATGGTAGGTGCCCATAGCCCCATTGAGATCAGCAGGACCTGAATTGGGGAAATCATAGCCTGATGTCACACAGTTTTGTACTAGGTCCTGGAACCTTTGTTCTTTTGGACCTCATAATAGGGATATGTTTTCAGAAAGAGGAAATTGAGTTTTCAGTTACAGCAGTCTACAGATTTCTAGAGGTGGGACCAAAATGAGGTGGTAGAGCTCCCATTCTGAGAATGCAATGAAAGAATTCTGTTTTACTTGGGAAGTCAGGGGGTGAAGGGAGACAATGACCTTGACAGTCAGAGTCTCCAGAGAGTGGGTCAGAGCTGAGTACTGGATAACAGACAGAGGACTAAGCACAGATGCACCCAGCATGCCCAGAACTCCCCACAAAGGCTTATGCCTGCCCCCCTGCTCTGCTCTCACATCTGCTGGGCTGCTCTTCCAATCTGGACACTGAGTATCAAATCGGATCCCATTGTAACCTCACTGGTCTGCTTCCAGTGGCTCCCAGAACAGTGCTGTCTCCAACTCACACCCTTTGCTTCTTCCATGTATCCTTACCCTGGCCTCCCTTGGGAGTGGTTGAGCATGAGCCAGCCCCTCCCAGCCCCAGGCTTTGTTCCCCCACAGGGCACCTACGTCTGGCCAATGGAGCCCACCGATGTGAGGGGCGTGTAGAGCTCTTCCTGGGGCAGCGGTGGGGCACTGTCTGTGATGATGCTTGGGATCTGCGGGCAGCCGGTGTCCTGTGCCGCCAGCTGGGCTGTGGCCAGGCTCTGGCAGCCCCTGGCGAGGCCCACTTTGGCCCAGGTCGAGGCCCTATTCTCCTGGACAATGTCAAGTGCCGTGGGGATGAGAGTGCTCTGCTCCTCTGCTCTCACATCCGCTGGGATGCTCACAATTGTGACCACAGTGAGGATGCCGGTGTCCTGTGCCGGCCGTCGTGACCCAGCCCACTCTGCAGACCCCTCTTCTGGGAGCCTACTGTGGCCTGCCACTCTCCCACCAGGAAGCACTCCTCCTGTGACAACTGCAATTCAATCTGCCCTCTCTCCCCTCGCCTGGGAGAGAGCCTGCCCAGAAGTTGTGGTCCTGCGTGGGGGAGACCTGACTCTATCTATCCCATCAATTTGTATGAACTCACCTGTCATGAACTCTTGTGGGCCCAATTCAAAGAAAGTTCCCACTTTCTGCTCAGCCCAAACAAAAAAATGGGGGGAAGGGAATGACTCTTGATTCTCCTTTTTGGTGGGATTCCTGTTCACAGCACCCCAGAACCCCCATCCTAGAAACTCAGGGGTGCTCTGTAATAGGCTATCTCCTTTCCTGCCCCCCTATCTTGGGATCCCAAGTAACAGGCAAAGCAGGAGGGGCTTGCAGCTCTAGCCTTAGACTGACTGGGTTGCAGAAGATCCTGAGTCATTCCCCTGGCCTGCTCCATGAGGGCCCAGACTCAGATGGTGCTTGGCTGGACAAGGGGACTGGAGGGACCAAAGCAGGGGCAGTGGCCTCTCCCTGCAGCTGGAACCAGCATCACTGATTTTTGCTGCCCCCACCACAGAGCCTTCACTTTGCAGAAGCAAAGAATCCTGGGGGCCTATAGCCACCCATTCATAGGTGCCAAGTCAATAAAGCATTGTCCCCTTCTTTTAACCAAGGCGAGTGTTTGGACTTAAGTGCATCATTTGTAGCAGCAGAAAGCCTCTGGTTTGGACTCTGGAGGAAACTTGGGGATGGAAAGTAACTCAAGAGTATCCTAAGAGAATTCTCAGCAGACCCATCACACCCTAGAAATGCTGACTCACTGTGTCAGGCCTGGTTGGCTCCATAAGAGCTCCTCCCTGCTTTCCTTTCACAGGTAGAGAATTCTAGGTTCTTCCCAAGGAAGGGGACTCTCCAAGGTCACATAGCCATGTGGTAAGGGTCACTAGAAGGGAAAAATCATTTGAGAGGAGAATGGGTCTGAGAAACCAAACAGGGAAAGTGCATTTGGGCATCCTGAAGTCTGCTCTTGGGGCACCCCACCTGGACAGGGCAGAGAGAACTGAGGATGCTGCCAGAGCCTCTGTTAGCCCCAGCAGTGTGGCGGCGGGGGTGGGGTGTGGGGGGTGGAGGAGTGCTGGCCAACAGTGACTATCCAGGTTAAGTTTCCATCCTCAGGTCCAGCTCGCAGGCTGTACAGATTACTGCTCTACCAAATGAGTACAAACTTGGTGACTTGAAACAACACACATTTATCTTACAATTCTTGAGGTCACAGGACTGTCATGGATCCCCCTGGGCTAAATGAAAGGTGTCAGGAGGGTGACCTTCCTGGAGACTCTAGGAGAGCCTTTCCCAGCTTCTAGAGGCTTCCTGCATTCCATGATTGCTCATGACCTCCCACCAGCAACCACATGATTTTAAGAGCTGCTTCCATCATCTTCTCCCATCTTCTATCTCTTCTACCTCCCTCTTCCATTCTCTAAGGACTTTTGTGTTGATATGAGACCCACTAGGACAATATCCCCATCTCCAGGCCTTTCATTTAATCACATCCACAACATCTCTTGACCCTTGTAAAGTAACATAGTCTGCAAACACCAGTGATTAGGGCATGGACATCTTTGGGGGCACTGTTCTGCATCTTGCAGGCTACAAACTTGGGTCCTGGCTCCAGCTGAGGAATGAAGCAGATTCTTGAGCTCCAGATTCCGTCAGCTCTTGGCAGTAATGGATTTGTCTCCATTTGCAAGGAGCTCTCTGAGACACACTGTGTCATTGGAGGGATGGGGACAGAAGAATGAAAATACCTAAGTATTCAGGGAGTTGAATGCTGGAATGCTCTAGAAACCCCTGTAACCCCATTTCAAAGTGCAGTACACTGAGATTCTGCTTAGTGCACACATGTTTTCTACACACACATTTGAATATGTTTCCCCCCTTTCCTGAGAAATACCATTTCCCACCCCTGAAGTCCCTTTCCCACTTAAACAAACTGTCAGTACAGACAGTATTGACATTCTCAGTTTATCCTCAGAGCAGCTCCTTGGTGATAAGTAAGACTGTCCCTTTTTATTTTATGTATTTATTTCTATTTACTGGGGTGCAGGCCAGAGGTACAGCGGGGGGGGGGGGGAAGGGTGGTGCAGTGGTGGTGAGAGGATTCACCAAACAGAGTGGGGAGCAGAGCAGGCAGATCTACTGAAATACACTGCTGAGGGGAGCAGGAGGAGGGACAGGAGAGGTCTGCTGCGCCATTTGGGTCATCTCCCTGGCCAGAAGCTGAACTTATGCCTCAGTGGCTGGCAAAACTTGATAGTGCTGAGACTTTAACCCCTGTGCCACTAGGGAGGCCCATGGACTTCAGATTCTTGGTGCCCATTTTTAGTGGGCACCAATATGCCCAACTCTCCCCTTCCCTATGGCGTGCTTTGGTTACTGAAATGTGAGTAGCGATAACCTCACAGGGCAGAAGCCTTCAACCTCCTGCAGACAACTTGCCAATTTCCCTTCCTTCAGGGTTACTCTGACATCCCAGGTGGTCATGGGCTCATTGAACCGTGTTCCTCTGTGAGGGCCATCTGGAACATCACTGCTGTTGTAAACTACTGCAAATTGGGTTGTTCATCAGAGCAGCATAACTAGCACATCCTGACTGAGACTCTCAGACTACTAAAATTTCCCCTGCCCTGTGGAGTTTACTTGCAACCTGTTTTCAACCAGTTGTGTTTTTTTTAGATTTATATATTTATGCATACAGAAATGGGGTATGGGCCAGAGGTGCAGGGGTGGTGAGAGGATTCACCAGAGAGAGTGGGAAGCAGAACAGGCAGATCAAGGAAGTACAGGGCTGAGGGGAGCAGTGGGCGGGTCAAGAGAGGTCTGCTGCACCACCTGGGTCACGTCCGGAGCTGGGGATCTAATTCACACTGAAGCCACTAACTTGCAGTGCTGCATCCTAACCCACTGCACCACCAGGGAGGGCCCTCAACCAGTTCTTAAGGCTGGTTCTGTTCACTGTGCTTTATGTACACTTTGGTGAGTTCTGTGGGCCAGGGCCTACTAAGGTTGGGACTACATGGATAAGTAAGGACTTTTGCCCTTGAGAAATTCACAGAACAATCCAGTTCCTATGTGTAGACACTACTGTACCTGAAAAACAACCTGCCCCACTCAGAACGTTGTCACCTAGAACTTAAGCGAGAAACATGGGTGTTATCTCCAACTAGTCCTACTCCCCCAAGCAAATTAATCACTATATCCTATTGATTCTCTCTCCCAGACAGAACAGACCCTATCTGCTTCTCTCCAGCTCCACTGTCCACTTTCCTTCATTTCCTGCCATGTCCTCTTCGCTGCCTCCCTGCCCCCAACCCCGCCCCTATATTGCAAGAAGAGTGCGCTCATTAATGTGTACACACCGATGGTGCCCATCCCCTGGCCAAGCCTTTTCCATGGCTCCCCTGTGCTCTTCCCCAACTTTTAGCTCAGTTTACAAGGTTCTGCACAGTCTGGCTCTGCCTGAGTGTTCGGCACCACCCCTCGCCACTTGCTGCCAAGATGTAGCCAGGTTGGACCACTTTCAATTCCTCTAATGTCTGGGCTCTCTTCCCACCAGGCCTCTGCACATGCTGTTCTTTCTGCCTGGAATACACATCACCCTCTCTCCTCCTTCCCCTTAGTCAACTCTTATTTAGCCTCCCATCTCGGCTTTCATTTTCTCCAGAAGGCCTTCACTGATCTATCCCCTCCCGCCCAGGGCCTGGGCTAGGAGCAGCCATCACACCCTGTACCTCCCGCAGATGTCACTCACCCTTGCATCTTAGCAGACTGCTGGCTCACCTGTGTCTACCACTGACCAGCGGGCCCTTTGAGAACTGAGGCTGGGCCTGTTGTACCCAAACTTTGCGCAGAAGATCTTGCACACACTTGGTACTTAGATATTTGATGAAATGAATGAAGAGCGTGAGTGAGTATTTCTGGAACATGTTAGGTGGAACACCATGCTAGGCTCAGGGGCTGCAGAACAAGGAGTGATCTAGACCGGTTTTCTGTTTGCAAGGCATAGAGATAGCCTTCAAGGGGTTTACCTTGAAACAAATCAAGACCCAAGAGAATTTGAGATAGTGGTGAGGACTTTTACCTTCCCCCACCCCCTACTATTTTAAAAGGACAGTTTTAGTAGGAAAAGGATAAAGGAGAAGATAGGTACCTGCACAGTCACAGGTGGGCAGGAAAGCTACCTAGCGATGAGTGCTTTAAGGAATAAAGAACATAATGCAGGGTGGGATGGGAGGGACTGGGAGGTCACGGAAAGCCTCTGAGGAGGCCTTGAGTTATACTTGAGTAGTGAGAGGGAGTGGGCCATGACCTTTTGACCATGAAGATATTGGGGAGGACTTAGTGTAGAAGGAACAGAGAGAAGGGTTTTGTGTTTGGAACTAAGAGGAACATGCTAAGAGATGAATCTGAAAACGTGGTAAGGGCTTTCTAGGCTACAGGGAGTCTTTTTTCTAAAGGTGATGAAAATCTATCAGCAGATTAGTGAGATAGGCACCCCAGATGTCAGCCTTTGAATAGCTACCACTTCTTTCCTTCCTTTTTTTTTTTTTTTAAAGATTTATTTGTGCATACAGAACTGGGGTACAGGCCAGAGGCTCAGGGGAGGCGAGAGGCTTCACCAGAGACAGAGTGGGGAGCAGAACAGGCAGATTGACGAAGTATACTGCTGAGGGGAGCAGCGGGCGGGTCAGGAGAGGTCTGCCATGCCATGTGGTCACTCCAGAGCAGGCGGGAATCGAACTCATGCGGAAGTGGCTTAAGCTTGTTAGTGCTGTGCTTTAACCCACCGCGCCACCAGGGAGGGCCCGCTACCACTTCTTTCAACTTGCTGAATGCACTTTGCCTTTCAAGATTTAATTAAAGTGACCCAACCAGGTATGCTTCTTTAAAACACAATGTCAGTATCCCTATCAAAAACCTTAAGAATTCTCAGGGAGCTTAGATTCTGTTCAGTGCCTCTGACTTTTTCTGATTTCTCAACTCTCCCATCTGCTATTCCCTCCCTTCTTTTTGACTTTCCTTTTTCCCCTTCACTGACTATGTCCTTCACTCCTGAAGTTAACGGGTGTGTGTATAGCATACTTAGCTGACAATTTAGAGCAAGAAACTAACAGCCAACTAAAAATAAAAAATCAGATACCTTGTTTTTAAAAAGCTCTTGCATATTTATACATATCACCACCCCATCATGCCGGTCTTCCAAGTATATCCCCCCAGGTAATTTTTCTTACTCTAGGCCTATCAGCCTACCCTGAGGCAGGAACCCTAGTTTGCAAGTCTTCTGTGTCCCATATTTTTGCTCATTGCTTTATTTTTTTTATTATATTAGTTTATTTTTATGCATTTTTCCATCTCAGTCATTGCTTTATTTTTTAAATAACAATTTTATTGAACTATAATTCACACACCAAAAAGTTTACCCTTTTAAAGTTTACAATTCAGTGCTTTCTAGTATCTTGGCAAGTTGAGCAACCATCACTACTATCCAGTTCTACAATATTTCATTTCTTCCCCCCCTTAAAAAAACTCCCCATACCCACTAGAAGGTACTCTCCCTCTCTCCCAGTCTCTGGCAACCACTAATCTACT